GTGCCTTTTTTATTGATGGTCCTGGAGGAACAGGAAAGACTTTTCTTTATAGAGCTTTATTATCTGATATAAGATCAAAAGGATATATAGCTTTGGCAACTGCTACTTCGGGTATTGCCGCTTCAATTTTGCCCGGTGGAAGAACGGCTCACTCAAGATTTAAAATCCCTATAGATGTATCAAAGGGAAAAACATGTAAAATTAGTAAACAAAGTAATCTAGCGAATTTAATACGTGAAAGTAAATTGATAGTATGGGATGAGGCACCAATGGCTAAGAGATCATCAATAGAATCACTTGATGACTTATTAAAAGACCTAACAGATTCAAATGAACCTTTTGGTGGTAAAGTTATTGTTTTTGGTGGCGATTTTAGACAAATTTTACCTGTTGTCCGCAAAGGAAATAAAAAAGATACAATAAACGCATGCATCACGAATTCTTATATTTGGCCTCTGCTTGAAAAAATTAAGCTGAAAGAAAATATGAGGGCACGACATGATCCCTCGTTTACTGAATACTTAATGAGAATAGGCAATGGTAAAGAGCCGACTCATGAAAACAATACAATTCACTTGCCTACTTCACTTATAATAAAAAACACTGATACTGAGGCTGCCCTTCAAGAATTAATAACTTTAATATATCCTGAGTTCTGCAGCAGAGCAGTACAGAAAGCTATATGTATCGAAGAAACACAAAAAGAACAACAGAATTTCCCAATGAATAGGGCAATTTTGGCTACAAAAAATAATTTTGTAGATGAAATAAATAACAAACTAATTACAGATTTCCCAGGCCAATTAGTTGAATATCTTAGTTTTGATGAAGTGATCAACCCTATTCATAAAGGCCTCTATGAAGACATTATCAATTCTTTAACACCTGGTGGTATGCCTCCACACAAGCTACAATTAAAAGTAAATGCTCCTATCATACTTCTCAGAAATTTGGACCCAACAGAAGGATTGTGCAATGGAACACGATTAATTTGTAAAAAATTATGCCGAAACATTATTCACGCAGAAATCGCTGTTGGAGAGTTCAAAGGGAAAAATGTTTTCATACATAGAATTCCATTAAAACCTTCAAGTGATGACCAACTTCCTGTACCTTACAAAAGGATACAATTCCCTGTTCGATTATGTTTCGCTATGACAATTAATAAAGCACAAGGACAAACATTAGATTCAGTCGGTGTTTATTTAAAAGAACCAGTCTTTTCACATGGTCAACTTTACGTAGCCTTGTCACGTGCAAAACTCTCATCAGCAGTTAAATTTGTTATTAAACCACCTTTTTTTGACCCCCAGAAAAATTATGCTACAAAAAATATAGTGTACAATGAAATTCTAGAAGCAGCCGCAGAACCGCAATGTAATTCAAATTTACATTATTATTTTTAAACCAAATAACTGTTAAATTTACCCAACCTTATATTACGTAAAATCTAGCTATTCTTTTTATTCTAATATCTATACTATCAATGAATGCAGGTGATCATGTCGAGGACCTATCTGCCCATAAGCCAAATAACCGATGAGACACGAAACTGGACTGCGCTCATTCAAGTTGTTGAAAGAGCGCCTATTCAAACAAGCAAAAATGATCCGAATGTGCTTTATCGAAGATATTTATTCACCGATGGAGA